CGTGGGGATAAATGTTACCTCATAGCCATATTTAAAGCCAATTTTCTAATTTGTGGTGAAGGTGCTTTTGATCAGTTTCAATTGCACATTTATTGCTCCAACATTTTAAAGCACTCAATAATTCAATGCCCTCAGCAATTTTTAAGTATATATTTTCATTCATGGAAGTTTGCTGTATTTAGCATTGCAGACTTGTATCCAGAACTGCTTTTATGAGTGGAAAAACAGTTCATCTTATCCAAGGCAGTCCCCCCAACTTTTACCTGTTCCTCTTCCATTGCATTTCACCCCCCCCCCAGTCAAACATCTGGTCCTGACAGCAGGCCAAATATTGGATTTATGAATTTATTGTATTATATAGAGAAGTCCTTTCTCAGTACATTAACACTGTTTAATGTTGGGTATGAGAACCCCACAGAAACAGGCTTCCTCTGACTGCTTTACAGAAAAAAGCAAAGCAAAGGACACATTTGCAGGATTTATAGCTTTCGATGGCTGACTTATCATTTATGGAACAATTTCTTCTGCTGCATGCTAATATCAAGATAATTCATAGGACACAGAAAAAGTGTATATCAGAAATTAATTTATTCCCAATAGTTTGAGACAGCATCAAAGAACAGCTGGTTGTCTTAAATTCAACAGGTTGTTGGATTATAGACTAAACACCCTGTGTGGGTTGAAGGAGAAGATAAGGTCATAAAGTGGCACAAACCAATGAACGTCTGGAATGGAAAGCTGAGGCTGTTTTTCTGACATTACTTTCTGACTTTTTAAAATAATATTTTAGAGGAACTGCAAGCAAACAAAATTAGGCGATTAGTGTTACGTGCTTCATTTTGCACATGTTAAAATACTCTTCTGAGCATCACACTCCCTAGCATTGTTTCCTGCTTTCCTCAAATTAAGAAGTGCCCTGCTGGGATTCTCAAATGCATGATGTTTCTCATGCTAAATGTTCAAGATCAAAGAGCCCCTATCATAAATCTAGATAAACATTTCAGCTTTATCATGTTTTGCCAAAATGTGACTCCTGGGTGGAAGGAAAGATTTATGTGAGAATATTAGAATGCATTTTTATCTACAGGGTATATGCTGGAACTTAACATTAGTAACAGAGAAATCATGTTCTATCTGATAAAATAGGCTTGATATATTTAGTTAAGAATGCAACGTTCTTGCAGTTTGTCATGGAAAATATTTACATCCCTTTTGCGATTTTGTTAATTTATTGGAAGTCTCTGACAAATAATTCTACAGGGGAAAATTCTGAAATTAGAAACATTTATAAAAACTAATTCTCAGTCCCTGCTCTAAACCTCTGCTAAAAATGTTAACATTTATGCGTAACAGAAACATTTTAGAAGCACACATCCAGAGAGCTGGGAGGGTAAAATCTATCTGCACTCATGCTAGCAAAAACTAATATGATATGGAATACTTTGATGAGCCTTGCCTGGTTCAGTTATATATGTACATGTTATTTGTCTGCATGGTTGGAAATACTTTCCACAATCTAATTTTGACACATGAGTTGCAAAGTTTCTAAGGTGACTATTCTTAGCAAGAAAATAGCTGAAGTATTCACATGAGTATTCTCCATGAGTGGATCAGCACCAGTCATATTTAATCAGATCAGGTATAATTTTCAGAAAGGAGCTTCTGATGAACTTTGGACTTTTTAAGGATAGGTGTGCCATAAAAAAGTTGTGGCTTCTGATCATTTCTCCAGATATTAAGTAAAAAATATGAGCTGGTTTCTTGCAGACTTCCTTCTGGTAAATACCAGCGATAAATGGCCTGAGATTTAATCTGAATCAATTTCACCAGTTGAAATGGGCTTCCTTTCACTTTTCTTCCCACAGCAGCTTCTCCAGCCCCCTGATAATAATACAAAGAGAGCTGCGATGAGGAGGTCTCCTAAATCAGATAGTAGGGATTTCCACAAATGGAGTCCTTCCTCTTGAACAAGATCAAGATCCATCACTCTAAATCTTAGTGGGTCGTTTTGGCTCTATTTGGTTTAGTCACTAGGTGGCACTGGAGTTAGTTGTATCTGAATCAGCAGTTTCCTATGTGACATACTTGTTTGAAAGAAACAATAAAAACCATTGCTGTATGTCCTCTAAGCCTTCCCTAACACCATTTAATTCAGAAGTGAAGGTTTGTTTATTGTTGAAAATCTTTAGTGTCTTATGATGTACATATTTGATAGATTTTATTTTAAAACCCAATTCCTTAGCAACAAGCCAGTGTCACAAGTGAGAAAAGCTAAGCCTGAAAGAATGCAAAGATCGATATTCATTAGATGATGTGATTTTATACACAAAACTCCTGCGTAAGCTGATTTTCTTATAATAACTACTAAGCCTGAGAAAACATGGAAGAGTTCTCAGGAGCATAGGCACTGTTGTTGATGATGGTGATACATTTTGTTGATTGGTAATAATAAAAAAAGGGTTCTATAGGATCTGAATCAAACTCTGCTTAAAAACAAACTTTCAGTAGCACCAAAGTATGGCTGTTTGGCAAGTATGGCCAAAAAGATGTTCACAGTGTCAAGATATTTCCAGTTTCTTCCAGCAAGTGCCTTTTCTGAGTGGTGGAGTTCAGACGACAAGGATTAAGCAATATTTTAGAAGCACGTGCAATGAAAGTATTGAAATAAATAATATGAGATGACATAATTTTTTTTCACTTGTGTAAGAGAAAGTTCATTTATAGGCACTGTGATGAGATACGGCAGTATCTAGAAATGGCAACTACCTAGAATCCAGGAGTAGTTTAGGATTTTCAAAGGCTGCCCAGACAATGGCTGTCCTACAGTGCATATGCCATTAAAGTGCACCTATGTGCGTAAGCACAGGTGTATGTGCAAGGGTGATGGCGAAGTGCATTTGACTGGTGGTTAAATTTCACCTTACAACCATATGAAACTAAGCATAAATCACAGAAGGGGTCATTTTTGACCCCAGATGAGGTGACTTGGGGAAGGATTTTAGTTCTGTTTGCTGGAATTTTTATCTTGGACTCTTGACTTTCAGAAGAGACCCTGATGTCCTTCTTTTGTGCCTTGGTTTGGAGCCTTTCCTTAAGGATATGAATTATTTTTATTAGTAAGGATTATTATTAAGGATATAAGTTTTGGGACATTTTGTTACTGCAGGTATGTTTTGGTATCTAGAAAGGAAATAGTAAAGGGCAAGAGGCTGAAAGCTAAGGGCACTTTTACTAGGCATATTCTGACAATATCCTAGAATGATTAGAATGTAGATCTACTTCACTTAATGTGAGCTCAGGGAGGCCAGTTTCTCAACTTGTAGGATGAATATTCCTAATTAAATATCATGGCTTTCCTGTATGAGTACAATAGTAAAAGTAACCCATGGACCTGCAGGCTTGGTTTCCTGCTTAGCATTTTTCCAGTCTTATAAGTGCTGTTGATTGCATTACTTGCTAACCTGTTTCATTTGTGGAAAGGAGGGATATAATTCAAATATTCATTGTCAAACACAACTTAAGACAATATCTTGGACTGGTTCAGCATCATATCTTTGAAAAATGCATATTGCTTGACTTTTATGGTTGTTATTTAGTTCAATGGCTAGGGTCATACATATTTATTTGAAGAAGGGTGAGTTGTCTTCTGCAATAATCAAGGAACTTTTTTTTACCAGAAACATTGCCATTATGCAAGATGGCCCAGCTAAGTTTAAGAATGTATGTAACTTTCTCTTTTAAGGGTGGGTGAATAATTGCATGCTAGGAAAGCAACTTCCATATTTTCTGGATGAAGCACTCCAACTTTGAGCTTTTCAGTCTGGTTTCATTCTGGTTATGCAACTGAGAAGAGTTTAGTGGCTCTAGTAGATGATTTGCAGATGCAGATTTTCAGAAAAGGAATCTGCTATTGATTCTGCTAGAACCCTTACTTCTAGTCATTGAAACAGTCATTGAAACTGCAAACTATAGTTTAAATTATTGTGAGCCGCCCCGAGGCTTCGGCAAATGGGGCAGCATAAAAATGTTTTAATAAATAAATAAATAAATAAAAGTTGGCTTGTTTGAAAGATTTGAGTAAGCAAAGCTAGAAATGGAAGTTTCCCCTCCTTCTGGATCATGGTCATGGAGGGGGAAGGAGGGAGGGGGAAGGAGAAAGGGAAACAAGCTAGTCCAAGATGCTCTGTGACCCATTATCATTATACTAAACTATAGTTTAGCCTTACATTTAAACCAAGTTAATGTCTGAAATGTGATATTTTATCTTTAGGACAATATCTGTCTGAACTTACTAAAACAATTTTACATGTGTATTTATGTCATTTATTTATGCATATAGCCAAGAACTGTCTTCTTGTTTATATATTTCATTCTCTGGGAACAAAAATCTAATGTTCTCTATGTACATATGATTCAAACAAACACAAAATGGCAAAGTGAAGCAAATAGGCTCAAATGTCTGAAATCTGTGCAGTGCATTTCATTTGACAGACATGGGTGAAGGGTAGCATAGCATTTGAGATATCCCACTGGAATATTTGAACTTTAATGAAATTGGTATTTGATCAGTTTGAAAGTAAACATGTCTTGTCATTTGACAACATGCATTCAATCAAGTTATTGAGTTGTCCAAACTCCACTGCTTGAAAGAACCCTGAAGGTCATTAAGAACCTCTGAGGGCACATAATGTCAGCAAGAGAGACAGTGGCTCATCTGGTCCTGCATTGCTTCCTGACCCAATACATAAATGTGTTTCTCTGATAGCCTTTGGATACATGTTGTAATGTCAGTTTAAAGTGTTCCATCAGTCATGACCACAGGGTCAGAAATCCAGACTTCAGATCCCATTCAGTGTTTACCATCTGAAAGCCATTCAAGCTTCACATCTGAAATTACCCTTGGCAGTACTTGAATTGGTTCTTCTGTTTGTTTGATTCATTGTTGGCAAGGCATTTACTAATTATTGCATTGTTTCCTTTTCTCTCCGTAACCCACTCAGGCTTACCCTTGCACCAATGACAAGGAATGTGAAGTTGGGAAATACTGCCACAGTCCCCATCAGGCCACATCTGCATGCATGATTTGTAGGCGGAAGAAGAAGCGTTGCCACAGGGATGGCATGTGCTGTCCCGGAAACCGCTGCAACAACGGTATCTGCCCTGCTCTTCTGCTTCAGTGATGTCTGAGTTGATCCTCAGCCTCGTTTCCTACAACTGACCATTTAAGAGGGAGGGGACTCAAAAATAAAAGGCTTTGAGGACATCAACCAATGCATGGCCAACTGGCTTGTATATAACCCTAAACCATGGTGTGGTTTGTTAAAATCTGACTTTTTATTGTGTCAGAACCCTCCCTTGCAAGCAAACCATGATTTTCTAACCAGTTATAAAACACAAATAGAATCCAGTGTTTTTTGTTTGCTTCTGACTTGTTTGAACTTACCGTGCTGTCTGAACCCAGAAATGTGGCTTATTCCTGGATTGTCTGAGCTGCTGCCCAACCTGAGACAAAGTTTCCCAGAAAGAACAGTCAGAACATGAAATTTCTCTGAAGTGTGTCAAAGTTGGTACAAGAGAAACAAACTAAGAATAAAAATACATGCACATATACAGTTCTATGGGTTCATTCACACATAATGCTTAACCTTGGTTTAATGTTAGTTATGGTTTATTGCTTTAGCCATGAATCATCTTTCAGGTGAGCAAGCAAACAGTGGTATTTTCCCCAACTTTTAGTTTCTTTTTCTCTGCAAACTCTATTTGCTAGACTTCAGAGAACTATCATACACACATCCATATGTGTATACATTTTATATATCCAGAATGAGGGGAGTTGGGAATGAAAGAGACACACTCAGGTCTTACTTGGATCATCAACATTTAACATGTAAAACCATTACTTATGACTTGGAAAACTTAAATCGAGTATTATATGAGCATGCCCAGGTGTTACTCATGTGCAGACATGTTTCTGTGTAGGAGAGATGTCCATATGACACAAAATTGGCAAATGGTGTAATTGTTGTTCCATATAGAATCTGGCACATTAGCGGTTGCTCGTATGCTGACTTCTTCCCTGCAGATGACCATGTTAATGTATGGAAATCTGTAGAAAGGGGCAGGCAGTATGCTGATACCAGAAGGGAGCCAGGAGCATGTGTGGTCCCATCAGTAATCACAAGATGCTGCTTCTGTTCAACAAGTAAGACTTGAAGAGGGCTATGGATATATGTTGTTGCTGTTAATGTTACATCTTCAAACCAGTCCCCCACTCAGATTTGGGTTCCAGTACCCACTCAGCCATGAAGTTCACTGGACGACTTTGGGCCAGTTACCCCCAGCCAACCTACTTCACAGGATTGTTGTTTTGAGGATAAAATGCAGCTACATAGATTAAGCCATAATAGACTTTGTAATTGCTACGATTCAGCACAGAAGCAAAGCAGCAGTATGGAATACAGTAGAGTATGTAAAAACAAAGTTAAAAAGTTAAGCTATTAAAATACAGGGAAAATAAAAGGGTCTTCACCTGGCACTGAAAGGAATACAAAGTAGTCACCAGCCGCACCTCTTCAGGGAGCTCATTCCACAACTGTGGTGCCACCACTGAAAAAGCCCTCCTCCTGGTTGCCACTTCCTTTGGAAGAGGCTCCCTGGGAAGGACCCTTGAAGATGATGTCAGGGTCACGTGGGAGGACACACTATGGGAGCTTCATGGGATGTTCTTCAAATATGTGGGAAGTCTCCAAAACAGTTCAAAACTCATCTTAGCCACGAGTTCATGAGGCTGCCTTGTATGACCGCTCCATATTTCCTCACAGCAATATGAAGATAATAATACCACACCAATTCAGAGCTCACACCTCCTTGGGAGTGCAGTGCACAGTTATCAAGTATAAAATGGTCTAGTAAATGTTATTTTTGAAGGGTACATGTTTTAATAGAAAAAAGGCAGAAATGCTGGGAGTGGAAGGATTTTTTCTGTCTAAACAAGCATAGGATAAGTAAGCAAAAAGCAAATAAATTACTGCTGCTTAGCATCATTCCATGAGAACTGGCCATGTTATTCCAAACCTTTTCTATTTTTCTCCACCCTGACTCATTTGATCCATTTATCTAGGTATCTGTATACCAGTGACTGAGAGCATCCTCACGCCTCACATTCCAGCTCTGGAAGTACCACGCAACAAGAAAAATAATCATTATCCCACCAAGGACTTGGGCTGGCAGAATCTTGGGAAAGGAGTGACACACATAAAAGGTAGGATTGTACTCTTCATAAATAATATTGGGATAGTCTTCTGAAAAAGGAGCATCTTTTGCTGTGGAATGATTCATACTGCCATTAGAGGGTTGTAGCAGGAAAATGTCCATGTCATAGCCCTCCCCCGAGCTCTGGAGCTGACATTGTTGATTTCACTCCTCTCAGGAGAAATGGGAGTGACATAATTAAACAGGGGAGGAGATGCACAAAATCCACAGAGAGAGAGAGAGCGAGCGAGCGAGGGAAATCACCACCCCCATCTTTTTCCTAGTTAGTGCAAGCATGCCTGACTTGTTAAAAAAATCATTTTAGTATAAATGTACACAAAACAAAAAAGCCATAGAAGGAAGAAAAGTAAAGGTAACATGGGTATAACTCCATAACAAAGCTATAACAAAAGCAGGCCAGATGTAAGTATCCATTTGAGAGGGCCATCTATATGCTGTCCATTCAAATATTGAAAGCGTCCTTAGTTCCTCAATCCATTGTGTTACAGGAAGTGAATCTGGTATTGTGATACTAATCTTTTAACTGTCAAATAGTGCAGAAGATCCATTTACATTGATCATGCATTAAGCTCCAAGGAACAAGTAGATAATTTAAAAGAAAGTGTGCATTATGAATGTTAAAGAGTGTTCCAGTGCAAAATGTATCTGTATTGTAACCTCCTCCCCAAAAGAGGCAATTACTCAACATTGGCAAGGCATAACATTAAAGGAAGCATTAGCACCCATTATCTGATTTAGAAAATCCTACTAAAGAGACAATGCAGGTGTGTCTGGATGATATGCTTATAGTCAACAATCCAGGAAACAAGTGCATAACCCCAGTCGGCTGATTTGCGTAGGGTCAGTACAGTCCTGTACCGACTTAGACCAGGTTTGGTTGGGAGGTTGAAATGGAGGGTGGAGGTCTCTATGTATCCCTTCAATCCACCCTTCCCTCTTGCATTCATAGGGTGCATGAGCAACTTGTACCAATCAGGGAATGGACGGGGTAAAAAGTGAGAAGTGTGCATGCAGGATGCTCAGTCTTGCCCAGTATACACTAAGAAGTCTAGGTTTTGAAGTTTGGTGTTCTATACCAGCTTCCT